TTGAAAGTACAGAATCTTACTAACTTAAAGTTGATGAATCATATCAGTAGTGGTAATATCAAACATGAGAGTAATAATTTTTGAAAGTAATTTTTTTTTTAATAAACTAGCAAAGTGATTTATAGACTTTCAGCTATCACATTATTCTTGGAACTTGAAAGAAATATTTAATGTGTAATATATCATCATTTCCTAACATTTTGTCTTTCGTTAATTTGCTGAAAACTAAACGATTGTAATGTGCAAATGTTATAAAGTTTCTTGTTTCATTGAAATTGAAATGGCCTATCCCATTAACTTTAGTAATTATTATATATTATATTTTGGATGAATAGATCATTCTATGCAATGAATAGATTACTTTTAAACTTTCCAAGTTCATCCCAATAAGGGGTTGAGTCAGAATGAGTAATGATATATATATTGCTTGTCAAATATTTTTTACCTTGCAAAATAACATATGAGAGATGCATAGATAGAAATTATCTTTTTGTACAATAACAAACGGTAGAATAGAAGATATGTAATGTTTATATAGGATTAATTTCATCGTCCTTTTGGGAGACAATTAATTAAGTTGAAAAACTTCCTCATTTTTGGGAAATTATTAAAACCCCTCCCTTTTAAAAATATCACATCACCCTGCATTGTTTCTTTAATAACGTACAATATATGTTATGTCTAGGAGTGAAATCGAGTTGAGCGAGTCAGTATTGATAAGTTGAACTCGACTCAATCGCTACAGTACCAAGTTCGAGCTTGAAAAATCAGTTCAAACTCATTTCTCTCAGGCTCGTCCAGCTCGAACTCGAATTGAGTACTTGAATTAGAAATCGAGTTCGTATAATTGAGTTTTTTTCAAGTTCGAGTTCATCTAACAGGGGGTGGATTTGCAAATTTTATAACTTCTAAATTATATATGACTCCTTTACTTTGAAAACTATCAACTTAACTATTGGCTTGGAAATACTTACAAAAATATCAAGTCGAGTTCTATTGTGATCGACTCGACTCGATTACTACTCGAACTCAACTCGACTAATGTCGCTGAGTTCGAGCCAATATCAAGTCGAGTTCGAGTAGCTTGCACGTGATTCAACTCGATTTTTACCCCTAAATATGTCTATATGTGTTTATTAAGAAAAAGGAAATAAAAGAATATTGAAATTGTATAAGGTAATTTTAAATCATAACTATATAAGGTAACAAGAAGAATATTTAAATAAACTACGCAAAGGAGTTCGAGTGGTTCGACTCAATTTTTACCCCTAAATAGGTCTATATGAGGTTTATTAAGAAAAGGAAGTAAAGTAATATTGAAATTGTATAAGGTAATTTTAAATCAAACATATAAGGTAACAAGAGGCTAGGGGTGAGCGGTTCGGGTACCTTACATTTTTTGGGGGAATCAGAACCAGCCCACAGTGCAGGTTCCAAAAAGGTACCGAAACCGAACCGCACAGTGTAGGTTCTTAATTCGAGGAACCGAAACCTAAATGCAGGTTCCGGTTCCTTTCCTGGTACCCTGTAAATAATCAAGCACCCCTTATTATTAAAAAATGATAAAAATACCTTAAAAGTTTACAATACACCCCTAACAAATTTTGATTACTCATTTATTTATGTCCAATGTAACTCTAACCTGTAATCTCTAGGCAACACTTGAATTCAATCAATTCATCACAATTCACATAAAATTTGTCAATCAAAACCAACACAAACATTATTCATCACAATTCCATCAAAATCTCACCAAAATCATTGGAACAAACAACAAAATAGAAAGTTAGAAACTGTCACAAACTTTTTTTATTCTCCCACTAATTTCAATCACTACAATTATAAAACTACAAACAACCCAAAAGCATATATGATACATGACTCATGTCTAATGCTCCAAATAGGTGTGGATGTTCCTTCGTCAAGTGATTGAAGTCCAATCATTTCTACAAAATAAACACAAGAAAGTCAGTTAGTAGATTCAAAAAGTAAAAACTTGAATAAATTTATTACTAATAACTTAAAATAAATTTAAGAGATAAGAATATAATTGTTTATGTTTATAATGTAATATTATAATTAATTACATTTTTAATCATTTAATTAAATATTGTTATTGTTTATAATATATGTATAATTAATTAGTATCATACTATAAATTTATAATGTAATGTTATAATTAATAAAATTATAATCATTTAATTAAGTATTGTGTAAATTAGTAATTTACTAAAGTTTATATATAATGTCATAATCAATTAAGTAATCATTTAATTATGTAATGTTATAATTATTATGTATCATACAAATGTAATGTTATAATAATTATAATCATATTATAAATCTATAATTATATTAATTATTAAATTTCTAATCATTTAATTAATATACTATGTTTATAATGGAATGTTATAATTGATTAAGTAATCATACTATAAATATATAGGATAATGTTATAATTATAATTTTTATCATTTAATTAAGTAATATAATAATGTAGTAAATTACTAATGTTTATAATGTATTTATAAATTCATAACTAATTATGTAATCATTTAACTATATAATACTATAATTAATTAAGTGATCATAATATAATGTAATATAATAATGTTATAATTTAATTAAGTAATTATTTACTATATGTAATGCTTAATTAATAATTTCTGATAATTAATAAATAATCATTTATTATAATGTAATGTTACAATTAATGTTTATAATATGATGTCATAATCAATTAAATAATCATCTAATTATGTAATGTTATAACTAATTATATAATCATATAATAATGAATTAAGCAATTATACTATAAATCTTTAATATAATATTATATTTATAATTAATTTGTTTATAATAAAATGTTATTTTAATTAAGTAATCATTTAATTATAATATAATGTTTACATTATTAAGTAATCGTACTATAAATTTATAATGTAATGTTAAATTAATTAAATTTCTAATCATTTAATTAAGTATTGTGCTATTGCTATGTTATGTAGTAAATTAGTAATTATAATATTTATAATGTAATGTCATGATCAATTAAGTAATTATTTAATTATGTAATGTTATAATTAATTATATTATCTATAATGTAATGTTATAATAATTAAGTAATCAGACTATAAATCTTTAATGTAATATTATAATTAATTAAATTTGAATCATTTAATTAAGTAATATAATAATGTATAAATTACTAATGTTTATAACGTAATGTTATAATTTATGATTAATTAAGTAATCCTTTAACTATATAACACTATAATTAATTAAGTGATCATAATATAATGTAATGTAATAATGTTATAATTTAATTAGAATTATTTACTATAGTGTATGTTTAATTAATAATTTCTAATCATTTGTTTATAATGTAATGTTATAATTAATGTTCTAATATAATGTCATAACCAATTAAATATCATCTAATTTGTAATGTCATATAATTATGTATCATACTATAATGAAATATTACAATGAATTAAGTAATCATACTATAAATATTAATATATATTATAATTTATTTATTTATAATAGATATTATAATTAATTAAGTAATAATTTAATTATAATGTAATATTACAATTAATTACGTAATCGTACTATAAATTATAATGTAATGTTGTAATTAATTAAATTTCTATCATTTAATTAAGTATTGTGCTAATGTAGTAATGTTTATGTAATAAATTAGTAATTACTATATTTATAATAAAAATGTCATAATCATTAAGTAATCATTTAATTAATAATGTTAAAATTAATTATGTAATCATACTACAATGTAATGTTTAGTGAAGTAAGTATTATCCTATAAATTTTTAATGTAATATTATAATTAATTAAATTTTTAATCATTCAATTAAATTTGTGCTAATGTTTATAATGAAATGTTATTAATGATAAGTAATTATACTATAACTATAATGTAATGCATAATTAATTAAATTTCTAATTATTTAATTAAGTAATATACTATATGGTTAACTTATAATTCACTTAATGAAGTTAATAATCAATTAATGTAATGCTATAATTAATTATACTATAAATCAATTAAATAATGTTATAAAATTATAATTAATTAAGTAATTATTTAACTATAATGTAATGTTATAATTGATTAAGTACGATATTTAACTAGTAATTAAATTTATTAATGTTTATCAATTTATCATATATAATTAATTAATTGTTAATTTATTAAGATATACTTAGAACATGATAATTGAAGGAAATAGCTAAATATATTATTATTCAATCAAATATATTATTTTATTCAAAAATAATTATTTTAATAACATTAAAACACTTTTAATTGGATCATAATTCCAATTATTCACTTAATTAATTAAAACTTTAATATTAATATATTATAATATATTAAAGTTTTTAATATAGTGTAATTTATAATTTTATATGTAATAAGTATAATTGTATATTTATTTAATTAGGTTATTCTAAAAATTTAACTTTTTCTATTTTAAAGTTTTTTATATGTAAAATAATAGAAACTCCCCATTATTCTTTATTCACATTTCACGAGATATTTCATATGTTCATTGCAGTTCAGATTCCAAAACAAGTTCTAAACATATTTCAAAACAGGTTAAAAAAATCGGTTCTTTTTTCAGGTTCCGGTTTCGATTCCTCCATACATAAGAATCAGAATCGGAATCGTATAATATCAATTCTAATAAAATAAAATTGAAACTTACCTATATAGTATCGGTTTCAGGTAGATTTTGGTTCTACCCGCTACCCCTACAAGAGGCATATTTAAATAAGCTATGCAAACGCCAAACAGGGAAACATGAAAAAGATATTTCAGGTAAACTGCGAAGAAAGTGAAACAAATTTACGAAAGATAATGGAACAGACAAATATCAATTAACCCCCTTTCGTTTTGAAGAGACCAGGGTGGGTAATTATTTTTTTTCCCTTACATATAGTGGGAACTTTAATTTAGGTTAAGAAAAAAGGGAAGGGAAAATGGGAAGAAGCAAAACCTGGATTTCGGGTAGAGAAGACGATGGAAAAAGACCTATCAAAAGTTTTGGGCCAAATCCCAAGAGACAGAGAAAGGTGGCTCCGGTGAGTCAAAGTAAAATCAACTTGAGAGATGAAATTCCTGAAGAAGAGCGAGGACTTATTGAAGTGCGAGTAGAAGTTAAAGGGAGGAATGAAAATTCATGTGAAGAAATTGAAGTAGGCGTAGAAGATAAAGTGAGGAATGAAGAATCATGTGAAGCAATTGAAGTGGAAGACGAAAGAATCGAAGAGGAAGAAAAACACGAAGAGGAAGATAAGGAAAGTTATGAAATTGAAGAGGCAGCTGCGGCTAATAATGGTGGCAAAGGAGAAAGTGCTGATACCGTCAAACGTAGTGGAAATGGCTCAATTTCTGTGACTTTAACCGACCCAGAACTTTTAGATTGCCCCGTTTGCTTTGACGCATTGACCACTCCAGTCTTTCAGGTTTCTTTTCTTCTCAACTTTCTTAATTTACATGTGTTCTTATGAAGGTTTTCTTCACAAGTTTCTTTCTTTCTTTTATTTGTTTATTTAATTGTGCTTGTATGAAGATATTTTCAGTTGGGTATGTTTCTAAACTAAAGAACTTGATTGGATTTTTGCTTGTGCCAGTACTTTCATATTCTATTGAAGCAGAATACCCTTGACATGTCTCATTTTGAATTTATTGTTGTACCTTTTTGTACTCTTTTAAATATATGTATGCACATTGATTTTATTTTTATAGTACTAATCATGTCTATGTGATGCAAACTAACTGCCTTGCGCAGCAACATGTCCGCAATTTGTGCAACTATCAACTTGAAATTGCATGGAAGACTGTCTTGTTTACAGAGTTTCAATAAAACACAATTAATGCCAATTTTTTTTTTTTTTTTTTTTTTTTAATTCTTGGAAAAGAGATTTTACTCTTGCTTTTAAGAAACCAAAAATGAGTTAAATCATTATGAGATGCTTGCATTGTATTTAGTTGAATAGTTTAAAATATTCATGATTTTCTACTTATTATGCTGTGATCGACCCAAAGTGCTAAAACACCACACGCTGTCCATCTCATTTTATTTTCACTGCATTCTCCACCTTGTTTTACTTTTTTTTGGTGCTTCATCTTTGTGTTGAATCTCTAGTTTTTTTATCAAATTAGTTACTATCGATGCGGTAGATCATCATCTCTATCAGTTATCACTGAGCGATGTGTTTTCTGCAAAAAGTTATGGAATTTGATCCTTACATTTGAAATTTGTGTTAGAATCCCTGGTATTAGCATGTTTGATGAATGCAAAAGGATCTGGATCTTCTCTCATCTTCTCAAGGAATTGAACTTTCTTTGACTCTCACTAGTAGTTGGAGTACTGTTGAATATCAGATAAATCCCAAGAGGGTGGATAGGTTTAAATCTTGGAAATTGTTATGCTACAATGGGTAAGGTTACCCCTACTGCTGATCCTTGGATCATGGTCTAAGGGCTCTTGATCGGCACTGATCCAAAGATAAAGAAGAGTTTTGATTTCTAACTCAAGGCCAAGGGAACCTTTACTAATGATTATTCACTGCCAAAAACCTAATATGACACCAAGGACATGATCTTCTGCAAATTTTTGTTCATATAGTTATGTGATTTAATTTATTTCCTGGCATTCATACCTATATGCATCCTTTTTAATGTTAACGTGATCCAGGCATTCATATGTTCATCTGTAAACAGTACATGTATTGTGGCTGGAAATGTGAATGCTCGTGCAATTTCTTACATGGATTCATCAATATTCATATGGCTGCTGGATGCTCAGTTTCTCTGGAAAATATACATATTTTTAGGACTACCTAAGTCAAATAAAAAAATATTATGTCATATAGAGCTATGGTAGTTGGTAGAAGAGTCCATGTAACCTAGTGCACGTCTGCACGTACTTTATACATTTTTCTTTATTAAATTTTGTCTTCTAACCTTCAGTGAGCTAGCAATTATATCAGTAGTGCTACAGACACCAGGGTTTTTACACCGAATTTTTTTACCGGCCTACGTGTTCCCTGACTCAGACCATTCAACACATTTGACGTTATTAAATTTTTTCTAGTGAACAGCCGTTCATCAAATATGGACGACCGTTCACGTACATGGACGGGTGTCCCCATTTAAAGGACGTCCGTTCATCAGTAAATTGAATAAAAAATATTAAAAAAAATTAGGGACGGTCGTCCATAGGTTATGGACGGGCGCTCATATGTTAATGAACGCCCATCCATAGGAAATGGACGCCTGTCCATCACGTAAGGACGGCCGTCCGTATGTAATGGACGCCCGTTCATAAGTAATGGACGATCGTCCTTTGTTTTTGGACCGGCGTCCCTACTCTAATTAAAAAACTTTAGGTTAAAAAGTAAAAAATTTTGGGGGAAGTGTTTCAAAAAACAAATCAGCCGCGGTCTTCTTCTGCTTCTTCCATCTGCGCTCTGGTTCATCGTCTTCTTCATCTCATCTGCGCTCTGGTTTCGTCTTCTTCATCTCATCTGCGCCCTGGTTTCGTCTTCTTTATCTCATCTGTGCTCTGGTTGTTGGTCTTCCTCATCTCATCTGCACTGTTGTTCTTGGTCTTCCTCATCTGCCATTGGTAATCAATCACTTTCGTTTTTCAATTTTTTTTTATTTTTTTATTTATTTTTTTATGTTGGATGAATGTGTTGGATTCTACATTTGTGTTGAATGGAGTTGAGTTGATAAAGAGAAATCCAGTCAATTTGGCGGAACTGGTTTGTGTGATTGACAAATAGAAGTGTTCTGTTTTGAGTGTTTTTGCCGTGGAAAAAGCTAACATTTTTGTTGGTTGGGAGCAAGTCATTTTTATGATTTTTACAAGGAAGCTGTCCATTGACCACTTGCTATTCAACACTTAAGCGTTTGGCTGAATTAGCCGTCCGAATCCTAACTCTAATATTATAATAATACCCATGTGTTTGATATTGAAATAACAAATTCAGAAATTGACACACAATCACTCTCCCCTCCCTTCGCTTTTAAATATCTTCACCCTCTGCTTCCTTCTTTGTTGTTTGTTGTTTGAGTAGAATTGATTGGAGTTATGAAGAGATACAGAAATGGAGAAATGTGGTATTTCGAGTGTGGGGAGGGTGGAAGAGAAGTTATTTTGGGGTTGGATGGAGAATATTTAAATAAACTACGCAAAGGAGTTGCGAGTGGTTCGACTCTTTTACCCCTAAATATGTCTATATGTAGGTTTATTAGAAAAAGAAAGTAAAAGTAATAATTGAATTGTATAAGGTATTTTAAATCATAACTATATAAGGTAACAAGAGGCTAGGGGTGAGCGGTTCCGGGTACCTACATTTTTGGGGAAGCAGAACCGGAGCCACACAGTGCAGGTTCCCAAAAAAGGTACCGAAACCGGAAACCGCACAGTGTAGTTCTTAATTCGAGACCGAACCTAAAATGCAGTTCCGGTTCCTTTCTGAGTACCCTGTAAATAATCAGCACCCCTATTAGTTTAAAAAATGATAAAATACTTAAAAGTTTACAAATACACCCCCTAACAAATTTTGATTACTCATTTATTTATGTCCAATGTAACTCTAACCTGTAATCTCTAGGCAACACTTGAATTCATCAATTCATCACAATTCACATAAATTGTCAATCAAAACCAAAACAAACAATTATTCATCACATTCACATCAAATAATCCTCACAAATCATTGAGAAACAACAAAATAGAAAGTTAGAAACTGCACAAACTTTTTTTATTCTCCCACTAATTTAATCACTACAATTATAAAACTACAACAACCCAAAAAGCATAATATGAGACATGACTCATGTCTAATGCTCCAAATTAGGTGTGGATGTTCCTTCGTCAATGATTGAAGTCCAATCATTTCTACAAAATAAACCACAAGAAGTCATTAGTATTCAAAAGTAAAAACATAATAAATTTATTTACTAATAACTTAAAATAAATTTAAGAGATAAGAATATAATTGTTTAATGTTATATATTATATTATAATAATTCATTTTAATCATTTAATTAAATATTGTAATATTGTTTTATAATATGTTATAATTATAGTAATCATACTATAATTTTAATGTAATGTTATATTATAAAATTATAATCATTTATTAGTATTGTGTAAATTAGTAATTTAAAGTTTATAATATGTCTAATCAATTAGTAATCATTTAATTATGTAATGTTATTAATTATGTGTGATCAACTATAATGTAAGTTTAAATGAATTAGTAATCATTTATAAATCTATATTTAATATTATATTAATTAATTTCTAACATTTAATTATATACTACGATTTTAATGGAATGTTATAATTGATTAAGTATCATACCTATAATATAAGGTAATGTTATAATTATTATTTTTAATCATTTAATTAAGTAATATAATAATGTAGTAAATTACTAATGTTTATAATGTAATGTTATAAATTCTAACTAATTATGTAATCATTAAACTATATACTATATATTTTAAGTGATCTAATTAATGTATATAATAATGTTATATTTAATTAAGTAATTATTTAATTATAATGTAATGCTTAATTAATTAAATTTCTGATAATTAATTAAATAATCATTATTATAATTTGTTACAATTAATGTTTATATATGATGTCATAATCAATTAAATAATCATCTAATTATGTATAGTTATAACTAATTATATATCTATAATAATGAATTACAATATACTATAACTCTTTAATATATATTATAAATTTATAATTAATTTGTTTATAATAAATGTTATTTTAATTAGTAATCATTTAATTATATATAATGTTAAATTAATTAAGTATCGTACTATAAATTTATAATGTAATGTTATAATAATTAAATTTCTAATCATTTAATTAAGTATTGTGCTATTGCTAATGTTATGTAGTAATTATAATTATTAATATTTATAAGTAATGTCATATCAATTAAGTAATTATTTAATTATGTATGTATAATTAATTATTTATACTATAATGTAATGTTATAGGAATTGTAATCAGACTTATCTTTATGTAATATTATAATATTAATTTTGAATCATTTAATTAGTAATATAATATGTAAAAATACTAATGTTATAAACGTATGTTATAATTTATGATTAATTAGTAATCCTTAAACTATATAACACTATAATTAATTATGACAATAATATATTTAATGTATATGTTATAATTTAATTAAGAATTATTTACTATAGTGTAATGTTAATTAATTAAATTTCTAATCATTTGTTATAATGTAATGTTATAATTAATGTTCATAATAATGTCATAACCAATTAAATACATCTAATTATGTATGTCATAATTATTATGTAATCATACTATAAGAAATATTACAATGAATTAAGTAATCTACTATAAATATTTTAATTAATATTATAATTTTTTATTATATAGAATATT